TGTGTGTGTGTGTGCGTGTGTGTGTTGCAGGGCTGATCTTGACAAGAGACGGGCAGAGAAGCAACGGCTGGGAGAAGAAAGGCGAAAGGAAAGCATGGAGAAGCTGAGGAGAGATTTGGACAAGTCCCGTGGAGAGACTGGTGTTGAGCACCGGTTTGAAGGGCGATGTTGATGATGAAGATGAAACACAGGAAGAGGTTGGTCTATGGGAAGTTCAGTGAAGAAGATGATGAAATGCAAGCTAATGATGAGATGGACGACGATGATGAAGTGGTTGCTAGTTTTTCGTTTTAAGGACTGGCCAATCTTTGAAAAGAGTTTGTGGGCATCTTGAATCCTGATATAATATGATTAATACTGTGCTGTATAGTTCTCAATGACTTGGGCTTGCAACCCTTGAAGCTGCTGAGATTTGCATTGTTGGTTTAAAAATTGGTCTGATTTTCATGAAACTGATGATGATTGGCCCTTGTTGTGGATGATCATTTTTCTTTTGGTAGTTCTAATGGTTCCTTGTGTTTGGGGGTGGCAAATCGTGTTATCGTATCGTTTTTGTGTTATCTATTTTATATGATCATAAATATGATAATACAATTCAAAATATGAATCTTCCAGTGTTTTTAGCCGCACCCTTTTCATCTGTTTGTATACCCATATATTTTCTCTAAAGCATATTTTGTAAGGCAAATGCACTTTTAATTGGTTAATGTAAAGGTGTGTATTTCCTTGAGAAACAAATGATGATTTTTTGACCATTATTTTATGAAAAAAATGTAACTTAAGTTTGATATTTTGGTTTAAACTATGCCTAAAAATGAAAATTTGGAGGTGGCTTGAACTGGTTTAAACTACGCCAGAAGAAGAAATTTGAGAGGTGGCTTGAATGGTTAGGGATTAAAGGCATCTGAGATGAAGAAAACAAAGGCTACAGGGAAAGAATAAAAAAGCTCATTGTTTTTTCAGCAATTTAGCCTTTTCAAATGTACATGCAGAAAACTTCGTGCACATAAATTTGGGGTTGTTTTTGGCTCGACGAAAGTACTCCTCACTGTTCATAACGAGCCCCGGTAACAGCCTTCGATTAGATAGGTAAGAAAATTGCTCATCCAATGCATTCCAAACGTTCTTCACACATTTTCCCCAGTTTTCTTTATCGAAAAGGCTGAAATACAAGAATAGTGACTTGTTGTTTATCACGTATTATTACAAATACCATCTTCATCGTATATATGCATTTTAGGATGAAACTCGGAGAAGTTCCAGAATTGCCACAAACCCTTTTGAGATTTGATGATCATGTAGCTAAATTTAAGGAGATTAATGTAATATGCATTGATGAATGTGAGTTGATGTTTGTTGTTTTTTTCTTTTCTTTTTTGCAGGCAAAAGAGGTTGCAAGAGAACTGTAGTTCCCGGTGAAACATTTTCAGCCCCAATGATACGACGTAGCTATGACTCAGAAGAGACAGAGTTTGCAACTGCAGTTGCTGCTTCTGCATATGCCACACATTCCCTGACT